TTAATATAATAGCTAATAGTTGGTAATTGTGGTTTAGGTAGTGGTTGGCTTTTTTTGTGTCTCTAACATTTATATTTAATTTAATTTAAATGACCGAAAACGATTTTGAATAGTTTTAGTTAACAAAAACAACACTGACACACAGGAATGTAATGAAAGGGAATGTACAATTAATTTAAACAACTGATTCGATTTCATTATTATTTTGTAAATGATCGTCTAATTGTGAAAGATTAATGAAATGTACTGGATGTCATCACTGCCACCCAGAGGAATATCATGTGCCCATGCCCCGCCTCTGGAGCACCTCGACACGGACGCGTCATCACGCCGTGGCCATACCAGTGCACCAGCGGCGGCGAGCGGCGAGAAACCATGACGGGATGCTTTGATCGCATATTTCCAACGCCTATACATGACCAAGCCGCGATTTTCATCTTGGTTCACTTAGAGCGACCGGCCAAACCAGAAAGGACCGACTACTATCCGGGATTCCTGCACGATTCATGCCACGGTTTGAGGATGCGAAAGAAACGCACGTACATGGTGTCGGGGGTCATCTTGGCCAGGAACGGCAGGAAAGACTTTCCTTTGGGATTATGTAACCACGAGCTGCGAGACGCGAGGACGAACACGACCCTTGCTCGAGCGCATCAGTGTCCGCGGAAGTGTCGGTCTCTCCTCCCGTTCTCCGCGAGCGCTCAGTTTACATTCTGCCAGTGCAGCACATTCATAGGCGAGTAACGTTACTTCACTAAAGGCATAAAGATAGTAGACATTTTATTTTCTGATCCGTAAGAGATATGACATACAATTCAATACATATATGGTTTGCTTCAGCATCTATTTAAACGATTAACTGATTTTATAATATCTTCTCTCGTGTAATTCGTATTTATTTCAAATTTAATAACAACGAGCAAACTAGTCCAGTGTTTCACTGGCATTCGTTACTTATATCTTGCGTGATATAACGTGATATTACAATTCTTATGTTGAGAAAAGGCTCGCATGTATACTTTTACTTTAACGTTACCAGTATCACAATATTTACTGTCTTGTATTATATGCTATGTTATATATATATCATGCCATTTAAAGTTATCGCAAAATCACCGAGGAGTGTCATTGATGCACCTCGCACGTGCCCGCGTTCCTCTCGAGCTGTGTGTCTCGCTGTGCGCCCGCACGAGGCGCCGGTTTCCCGGTTACAGTGTCATCCCCGCCCGCGCGCAAGGTCAATTGATCCAAAAAGGCTAAAAACGCAAAAATGTTATTCTTTCTGCAATGTTCGAATCTTTCTATTTACAATAAAACTCAATAGTCGTGTTATGTTCAAGTATTGCACTAATCACTTCTGACCAAAAGTATGACAAAACTGGGAAAATGCATTGAGTTTTAAAAGTACGGTCAATAACAAAGTTTCCGCCTACTTACTTTAATAATTCGTGTGATGCTCACTATAAATGATTAAATGAATGAGTGGAAAATACGTTTCCTGTAGTGCACCGACCGTTAGTCTGTTTGCAACCCCGGTAATGGCGTCTTTATTCCGGCAGGAGTCCCCACGCAGCTTCCGCTGGCACGAACGCCTCAGCTAGCGCGCGAGCTACTGGGGAAAGTACGACGAATAGCGCTTACGCCGATAAAAAAATGCGAATCGATGTCTTTATATACGCATATCAGTTGCATCCTTACGGAAAATTCAGGTGTATTTGCATGCAGATTTTGTTTTTTTTTGCAGGGATTGTGTCAATATCATAAAATGCATTATTTCACTATAAAATCAATTTTGTCATGAATAAAATACTTAAATGTTTAATTCTGGCCACATATTAAATATCAGTTGAATAATACAATGTTTCGGCGAATCAGAATTAAAAATAGAGGTATGAGCGGGCGCTTGTGCCTTCTCTCGCCCCAGAGCTCTCACTGCAGAGCCGCCATGAATGTTACAAAGACTCGGGGACGAGCAAATTGAAAACCGTTCCAAACGGGCTCAAAAATGATCAAATCTCTTACCTTTTTCAATAATCCAGCACGGATGTGCTTTTTAATTAGCGATGTGTTCGTGTTAAACGATTTTATTGTATTTAAGTATCTGTTTTTTAGCCGTAAACCCCGGGGAGTCAGGTCGAAACGAATCCGACAAAAGGAGCGTCTGGTTCGGTATGAAACTCCGCCCAGCGCCGCAGGGGGAGGAACTCCGAGGGAAAACATGCGAGAAAAAAAGGCGGAGGCTAAAACTTAAAAAATAATATTTATTTTTAACACTGATACATTTCTAAATTATATTAATACAATGTTTATGTATTTTTCAACATTTTAAAGCTCGACTTTCTCAAGCTTTAAACTCGCAAAACCAAAGTAGTATCTACCGTACATGCATCTAACAACCATAAACTACGTTAATATTAGTTCACAATTGCTATATAGCTCTTTTTATGGCTGGCCATTTAACAGGACAAAATATCTACTGGTTGCCATGTAAAAGAGGACTCTTTGCCAACCCTGCAACTACTTCAAGTGCGAAACCGATTAGTTTGGGTGCCCACATTCATTCTGCTGCCGCGGAGACTCGCACGGCCTCCGCGCTCCAGAAATCTCGTCTCTGCAGCCCCAAAACAGTCGTTTCTAATTAGTGTGTTGAGTTTATCTTCATATGCTTGCAGAGACGCTGGTGCCTGCTTGTGCTTTTAGTTCCCATCGTTTAAATTGTCACAGTCGGGCACCGATTTCCCTCAGCCTAGTAAAAGTGCCATTGACTGTTTCTCGCTCTCTCATGCTCTCTGATTGTACACAATCGTCACGAGATTTCTTTATGTGAAACTGACCAATGGCACGAGGAAAGGAGGAGACAGCTGTGACTGACTCAACCCCTTCTGTTTGACCAAGACTGAAAGAGATGCTTCACACAGATCACTGAAGTGACTGAGAAAACAAGTCTATCATTCATGGATTACTATGATTAGTATTTATTTATGCAGCATTTTGTCACATGTCAGTGTTATAGGTACTGAGCTGAACAGGCATGAACAGTGAGTTATCCAAGATTATTAGTGTACGTGGTCATTTCTAAAATTTCTCAGGATTCCCACAATCATGGTTTTTCAGAAGAAAAATCTTTATTTTAAAAATTAAAATGAAATAAAAAGGCATGGAACAATGTATGCAAGAAAATCATGCAAAGTGACTATAATACTTGAGGCTCACCACATGTTTATGTAAACTGTCTGTTTAGGTCATTGTATTTGAGAATTGCAGTATTTTAAGGTGGTCAGTTGTGAGTCAATTGTTTTATACATTTCCATCAAAGTAATTTAATTGAATGTTTTTTTTTTTTTAAAAATCCCTGAAAATGTTATTATTAAATGGTAATTAATGCTGCAGAAGTGTGTGAGTCAAAGTGTAGTATGTTTGGGCCATGTACTCTTGGTTTCTCTGCATTTTTCTGTGCTTACAGACATCTTGTTGCTACCACCATTGAGTGGCCATGAGATGGCAGCAGAGGTGCATTACTAGAGTGAACAGCCATTCATCACCATCACTCCCACTACAACACATGATTGCAAAGTTTCTACTTCATATCTAGCACATATGACTACATTGTGCTTTCTTGTCAGTTTGTCTTGCTTCAGTTGTAAAATAGCATTCTGGCATAGTAGAGAGAACATAAATGTTGTACTCGATAGAGGATATGTGGAGAGTTTAGTGACGTCAATGACTGATATATTTGGTTGTTTTTAAAATTCGAGGATTAATTGAGACAATATTGTCATTTGAAATGTATTAATGCACAAATTAATAAATGTAAATTAAATTATTAAATGTAAAAATGCACTAATTTCAGTCAATATGACAGAAAACATTTTAGCACTTCAGCAAGATATAACAACACAATCTAATAATTAATTTGCTTGATGTGTGTAAAATAAAAAACAAGACAAAAAGTCTTATGTAAAATCAGTTCCATTATTTTATTTTGTTGGACCTGTACTCTAAATATTTACAGAGCTAAAACCAAAACATTTGCCCAAATCATTGACATTCCACAGTAATATAATAATTAATAATCACAAAAATCTGTTATTGAACACCTCTTTCTCAATCACACCTGCTGTGTTCTCTTGCTAAGGTCACTTCAGCTTTTTAAAAGCAATATTGTATCTGAAAGGAACAATCGAGTGAAAAAAGGCACTACTACAGTGTGTGGGATAGTTATGAAAACAGTAGAGTGAACTGTTTTAGAAGGGGAAGATACACAATTTGACATTTTTAAAACCATACACAACAGACTAAGCAACATCTTAGATGTAGTCCCTTCTTTATAAAATTAATTATTCGCAAGATCATCTTGGTGACTGGAATGTACATGATACACATGATACATAATTATACCAAATCTACACTTGCTTCTTAATTGTTTACATTCTAAATCAGTACCTCAAACAACAAATATTCACCTATGGAACCTGTTAATAAAACTAAACAGTAGTGCAGTGAACGATCAAACCATTTCACAAGTGTGCTTGGTGATATTTAAATCATAACAACATTATTCAACATAGCAGAGATAGTGTAAAACGCAACCCTTCGAACTCCATAAAACATTCCTTTTAACAATGACCATGGCTTTTCTCTCATACAAACTGGGTAAATAATAATAATCAACCATAATCAAATTACTCTTTTTGTGTCTTCATGTATTATTTCAACTTTTAAGACTACTTCCCTTAGATTCCCTTAGTGTTCGTGTGATATAAACACATTCCTCTTTGGTGCTCTGGTGAGAAAACTGGTTTCAAAATAGCTATGCAACCATTTTCAAAAGACAACATCACAGTTGTGAAAAACATATCTTTTCTTCTTCCAATTAAACTTGTGACTGCAACCAGTATTTTGTCGCTAGTGGCATTATAGATATATATTTCTGTTTAGCTACAAAAATATTGAACACACAGACATACATACATACATACAGTGTACTGTATGTATATTTACACACACACACACACACACAAAATTTGCATTAATGTTATTCTGTACAGTTGTTAATTTTTAGCAGTACACTATATGCAATCTTCCAATGAAATAAAACAAACTGATGAGCAGTAAAAACAGCTTCATTTTAAATTGACCTTTAAGTGCTTCCTGTACCATTTTGAGCTGACGAGATCATAAATTCATTTAACGCTCCACAACACACACACATTACACAATAACATTTCAACTCTGATAAATAAACTGATAAAATATTAATAGTACAGGCGACAAATATTTCTTCACGCAACAGATACAAGTGACACTGAGCAACTATTCAATACTTGAACATATGTATAAATATAACATCTCCATGAATTAAGCAAAAACAAAATGAGACAAACATTGATTAAAGAAAGAAAAAAAAGACAGGCAGTACATTTGGGCATCTCTGCCTGAAAAGAAAGTCAGGCCAGCCCAGGTAGTGACAGAAGAGGAATGAGGTCATACTGGCATTTGCATCTCTGTATATTCATCTTGGCCTTCTCTGTCATCAAATGACGGCTCTGCATCATCTGCGTCAAGCTGTCACACAGACAAAATGAACAGTGTTAAAGGCAATGGGCAAATTAAGATTTCACATTGTATTATTAGTCTTGTTATATATATATATATATATATATATATATATAACCATTATAGCTGTAATACAAGTAAAAAATTGAAATATAATGAGGTAAAAAAGTGATATTTTATACAAGTTTACATAAGATATCATTAGACACATTTTTAGAGAATGCATCTTAAAAGTGTATTTGTCTAACCCCATTGCCAAATTTAGGTGTAAAACTAAAACAGGTTTATATTTTAGTATTGAACGCACTATATTAAACACCATATCTGCAAATAGCATTTTGCCTTTAAACTAAAAGAAAAGAAACACCTACACATTGTATCTCACGTTGAGTAAATATTCGGGACAACAGGAACCTCCTGAATGGCACAGTGAGGACAAGGACAAACGGGAAGGCTAAAGAGGCCGCGGTTGACATTACAATCCACAGCACAGCCAGGCACACCAGCTGCAAACATGTGAACAGGTGCATGCGGAGAGTACGCACCTGAAATAGACGAGTCAAAAGGTTAAAGCACAGTTAAATCTGACGAGAACGGCATTCCAGACCTAATGTCATCAGAATATTGATTTAAGAATGGTGAATACTCTGATTATCTGAAATCTCTGAAACGAACCTTGCGGACATAGGTGTGGTCAGGGTGGTACTTCGGTGGCATGAATAGCAGCATCATGCGTTCTGTTAGCTGGATCCCATTGAGAGACATCACTCCCATATAGAGGAATATACCAAACAACACAGCGATAGGAACCTGCCGCAAAAGATCTCCAATCACAATCGAGAGACCTTTGGAAGAAAGAGGGTTTATATACTGTCAGTTCTGAACAACATATATAAAGAAAATACAACCAGTAATGGCCACAACTGGCCATTCACTACTAATTTATCTAGAGACGCACTGATTTTAAAATTCTGGCTGATACCAATAGAGAGCAACAGTACTGTCGGGTTCCGGAAGTAAAAACTAAAAAAATTACAGCCTTACTGTGAACTACGCGGTTGTTAATTAAAAGTATTTGCTTCTGTTGAAGCTTTTAGCCAGCATTCTTTCAACTTAGTTTTAAAATAATCATGTTTAATAGCAGATTTCATGTTGAAAAACTACATTACCCATGTTGCTGTTCCCATTGAGCTGTTCTCTCTACACTCTCAAAATACTTAAATATTTGAATATGCATGCATATTTTGCCATACACTTTTATATATAATCAACATTTTTAAATACTATTTTGAACATAAAGCATTTTAAATTAGGCATTACAACATTATAATGTACAGTATGGAAAAAAATAATAATCATTGTGAGATTTGCTAAAGATTAAATTTAATTGTAATCAATTATTAAAGTATTATTATTATAAAGTATTATTGAGTAAATTATTATTAAGTATTAAATGTTATTAAAGTGTTAAATAATTAGTATTTTAAAGATTAATTTGAGTATTGGATTGAAATTAGATTGAGTGTTAGATAATGGCAATTTAAACAAAATGTAAAAATAGGAGAAATAGGCATGTAACAAATTTATACAGTACATCCAATATAAACAGATAGCGATAAACTAAATTGGCGGCTAACCAATATGGTGCAGATATATATGTATCATCCTTGAAATGAAGCCACTCACCTACAAGAAAAGCCACCAGAAATCCTGTAACTCTCTGCTCTTTTACTTCCTGAATTCGAGGTTTGTCACCAGGAGCAACGGCTTTGCTCATGACCGTAAGACTATTCGCATGAGTTACAGAACGAACAGTAGCACCGGTCAACCATGGCAGCCCAAAGAGCGCTGAAATCCCACCCGCGACCACGATGATTAGCAGGTCCAAGTGAAACCCTGACCCCTTAACCAGCATCCTGTCCTTCTTACTCACAATAAGACTGTAAAGGAAAATACAATAGAGGAATAATATAATGGAGGTTTTAGTAGGCATGGTCAGATCAGATTAGTGAATGCCCGTGACTCACGTAGTGATCTGAGTCTCCATGAAAATGAGGATGTAGACAAGCAGAGCCGGTAGAATGCTGGCAACCATCATCCAGATGGGGAACTGGCCATCAGAGCCCAGTGGGTGTATAAACCAGCCGCGCTTGTCCGGGCTGGTCACAGAGAAGCCATCAGGCACACTTAGTTTCTATATGGGGAGGAAAGAAAGACCATTAAGACATGCAGAGATATTCCAGTCTCTAATCAAATAACAAGCTTGGGGTAACTTATAACCCTTAAAGCACGGTCACATTAGCGAAGTTTCACGGGCAAAAAAATATTGATAGTGTAGCAATATATGAAGCACAGCTCACAAAGTAGTTCATTTTAAACCAAGCAGCTTTCTGTTGGTCAACATGGCGAATCATGTAAAATTGCAGATAATGTGGATTCCTACTAAAAAAATATCTGAACATGGCCTGTGAAAAAAATTCACTGAACAATAGTAAATGTGACTGCATCTTTACAAACAAGTACTGAGATGATCGTCTCAGATAGTAATATCATGGTAAATGGTAATATCATGGGACTTTAATTAATGGAGGGTAGATGTTTAAAAAGTATTAAAATGTCTTAAATTCACTTTTCAAAATGTCCCTTATCAAAAGTCTCTAAAAAAGCATAGAAAAAAAAAAAGACTAAATTGCTGTTTTAAATCTATCCTAACTTTCCAATAGTTACAAAATTGGTCTTAACTTGTGTGTGGGGGGTGGGTGTGTTAGTCTTTTTTAAATGCGTTATAAAAAAAAAAAAAAAAGAAACATTTTTCTTTTGTAAGTTTAATTTCCTTAAACATTTCCTACAATTTCAAGTACTTCAAAATGTCATTATGTCTAGAAAAAAAATGTCTTTTTGCTGAACACAAAAGAAGATATTTTGAAGAATATGTAATATGTATTTGGTTACTCAAATTCTTCCAAATATCTTCTTTTATGTTCAATAGAACAAAGAAATTCATACAGGTTTGGAACAACATGAGGTGTTTAAATGATGACAGAATTTGAATTTTTGGGTGAACTATCCCTTTAATATCATGCTGATCTTTAGTAATTTTGAAATGTGTAATTTAAAATCTTGCTTGACGTACAATGAATTTGAATGTTTGTGTGGACAATGCTAAGACTAAACTAGTTACATTATACATAAATCAAATTATTTAAACATTTCTTCATGTGTCACCTGTGTGTAAGTGTCCTTAATGCTGTAGTCCAACAGAACCATGGTGGAGATTGCAATAGGAACTCCAAAATCCCCAATAGCCCTTCGGAGCTGTGTGAAAAATAAGATTCAATTATCACTATGGTCAATAACACTTCATCACACACAAAATCGAGTAAATGCCACCTCATGTTAGCATGAACATTGGGATACTAGCTTACACTGCCAGGGAAAAAGGCGCTGTTCTTGAATTTACGCAGATAAAAGGCAATGAAGAAGGTGCCTGACGTGAGCACCAAGGAGAGGAGAGCTGTGTTTGGCTGGTTCAGGGTTTGAGAGGTATCTGCAGGTCCGCCGTCACTGGTGGGTGTTGGTAAAGCAGTGTCATTTTCTTCTCGCATATAGCAGCTCTGGAGAGGATGATCCATAAAGATCTGCACAGTAGACAAAGACTGTCTGAATATCTGCTAATATCTCTCTCATAAACATTCATTACTGTTCAAAGGTCTGGGGTCAGTAAGAATTATTTAGAAAAATTGTTTTAATCAATGAATACTTTTATTTAACAAAGATGCATTCAGTTGACCCAAACAATTGTACAAATGTTACTGTATTTTTGATCAAATAAATGCAGCCTGGGTGAACCTAAACATTAAAAACATTTCGAAAACATTTTAAAAATCTTTGAATGTTAGTTTAAACAGCAAATAGCATCTCAATACTTTGCCCAGCTTGAAGAAGGTCTCGTAGATGAAGATGAGAGAGATAAGGATGGAGAAGATCTCTTGGGTGAAGCGTGTCACAAATCGCACCAGGAAGCTCCCTTCAAAGGCCACCGTGAGAACTACAATGATGACCAACCAAATTCCAATCCATGCACGTCCTGTCAGAAACTCGATTTCATTGGACCTGCAGAACTGCAAACACATTGATTCGTGGTCACATTCAGATTTCCCTGCTATATCATTCCAGTGAAACATTTTACAGTTGAGTTTGTTTGTGGGGCGAATTCACTAAACAGTTGCACCACTTTTTCATGCAGCAATTCAGCATAAAAACAGTCTTATTCAAGTTACACTATATAACTTTTTTTATTTTTTTTATTTACCAACTTTTAATAATGAGTCAATACATCATTAATCCTTCTTCCAAAAAGTGTTTTGGTCTTACCCTGATTCACTATGGTAGGCCTATTATAAGCGTTTATATTTTAGTCCTGTCAGAATGGTTTTCGCAGGAAATTGCATACATGCATCACTCGCCTGTGCGTGTCTTTAATGTGTTTAATGTGTTTATGGTGTGGGTGTGCCATAGATTAGTTGTCACAACTAACAGTTAGACATGAACCAGCTAAATATCGAACCTCCAGGGAATAAAAAAAGCACTGAACAGAGGCGAGTTGAAAAAAGCACTGAAAAAGAGAACGCAACAGGGCTCGTAATAAAACAAGAATCAACATTGGCTTGGCTTTTCGGAGATGGCGAGAACTGAGGGATCTGAAATGTTGTAAAAGCAACGCAGAGACGGCGTTTTCATTACTCAACAATTTGATCTTAGTGAATTTGTAGAATTTGTATTTATTATAAATACTAACTGAATAGTAGGCCTCTTCAAATACTAGAAGGGGTCCAGAGAAGCCCACCACCAGCAGAGGTTGAGCCCCAAGCAGGCAGAACAACATTCCCTGCATGGCAGTGGCAATAATCAGCTCTGACACACCGATCAAACCATCTGTCTTTTCACCTGGGGAAGAGAGAAATTATTTGATCAGGCATTATGGTACCTTGTTTTAGTTGCATCAGAAAAACAATGCTTTATATAATAAAAAGAACAGCTTTAACTAACCCAATAGTCCTCCAAAGGTGATAGCAGGGGAAAGGGCAGCAAAGTAAATGAATATGACTGTGGCCATGCATTGAGGACTTAGGGCATCCTTAAAATCACTGATGTATTTAGGGTAGCGGCGCTGTGCATCTCTGATAACCCCGCCAAACAGCCGACCCGTCCTCTGAAGAGGATCGTCTATAGGTTTCAAAGGTGGATGAAGGGCTGAAAGAATACATTTAGAATGAATAAAAGGGAGATAAAAAGGCTCATTCAGTACATTTATTTTTGGATAAACAGGAAACTGATCTGTTCACTTATGTATACTGCATATGAGAAAGAGCCTTGTACCCATGTCCTCAGGGCTTTTAAGTTCCTTGGCCTGTATTTTGACCTCTAGCTCATGTCTCTTGTGCAGAATCTCTTTCTGGAAGCGAGCGATAGAATGCAACAGCTCCTCTCCTCCAACCTCAGATGGAGGAAGCACAATACTGCAGTCCAGGAAGCTGTTGATTGCTGTCAGCAGGTCCTGGCGCTCATCTGCCAAATATGCCGCCTCATGAAAGTGCTGGAAGGGACGTTCGAAATACCATTTTTACTTAGTGGAAAAATTGGCTAACAGAGCAGTTAGACAACAATACTGTTCAAAAAGTTTTGTATTTGTATTTTTTTATTTTGAAAAAAAAAGTATGCTTTTATTCAGCAAGCATGCATTAAATGTATTAAATGTGACCGCCAAGATATTTACAATGTTACAAAAAAAATATTTCAAATAAATGCTGTTCTTTTGAACTCTCTTGAAAAAATACTGTATATTTGATCAAATAAATGCTGCCTTGGTGAGCATAAGAGACTAAGAGAAATTTTGTAAAAATCTCACCAAACTTCAAAAGGGTCGAGTACATTCTCTGAAAGTCTTGTTTTAAGGATATATATATATATATATATACACTGTATATAGAATAAGCCAGAATGTACATTTTTGATGAACTATCAGTTATTTAATGAGACTTGATAGTATCTTATGTGCTTACCTTATCTGACATAAGCGTTGATATGGAGCGGCCTATTTGGTGGTAGTCAACATTGGCACTGGGCGGGCCAAGGAGCACGAATATAAACCGTACTGGAATCGGCACTTCTAGAACTGACTCTAACAGAACTGCTTCCTGCAGTCTCACAAAGGCCATGGTGGGCTGGTCCAGGAAATCCACGCTACCTGTGAAAATCGAGATCATCTGCATCAAGGCTTTAACAGAAGTAGTATGTCATATGCCTGCTCTTGTGATATCACAAAGCTAAGAACAGACAGTGAACTCACCCACAAGGACAACAGTCGCTTCTGCATCCTCTGGAATCTTCTCAAGCAACTTCAGCTCATGTTTAGATTTGGCCTTGTGCAAACCAAAAAACTGGGGTGTGTCTTTCTGTGGAAACAATGAGGAAAAGGTCTATTGTTTGTCTATTTTACCTTTCTTTGACTCTCAAAAACACACATACAGACTGTAATGAACACAGTACCTCATTCTTATCCAAGTCTACACTACCGCGGGACTCAAAGTTACGTAGTCCTCCAATGAGCGGGTCAGTGGCAGGGGGCTCGGGTGCGGCGATATGGTTATTGCTATGGTAATGAGATATGAGAGAGCCAAGGCTGGTTGCAGAGATGTTCCGTTTAAACAAGCTGTGCTCCTTGCCATCACTCGGGTGACTGACAAACAGAAGAACAAAAAGCAGAAGATTCAGCTGCATAATCCAAATGAGTGAGATGTTCCTGAATAGGAGAGTATCTTAAAGGGGATATTATTTATTGCTTTTTGAGATATGCTATGTAATGTTCACATAACCTATGTGAACTAACCTGTGTTTGAGGAGCAGGGCACGGAGCACGTTGGCTCTGTCCTGTGCTCTGATCTGATCTGTGATAATCATCTGCTCCACAACCTGATGAGCAATACCAGGAAGGGTCTTCTGGTCCAGGTCCAACAACACTGCACCTGCAAAATTATATCATCAATACATCAGACACACCAAAAGACATTGCTTCCAAAACACAACACAAAACGTAATTACAGCGAAAGCATTTTAATTACAAGCTGGCTGTAATATAGTGCTCAGAATATATTTTCAAGAGGCCATATTATGCCCCTTTACAAAGTCTTGATTGGTTTTGTCTTTAGGGTCTACTAGAAAAGGTTTTCATGCTTGAATGTTAAAAAAACACACATTATTTTTCACTTAAACTATGGGGCAGTTGAATGCTTGAATCTGATTGGTTGACGAACGTTCTTAGGTGTGCAATTATTTTCAGGGAAACTCATGGCTAAAGTAGTTTCCAGATAGGTCTTGCCTGCATTACAGGTCCATTTTACTTCGCCAAATGATTTCAGTTATTTCACTCTACAACAGCAAGAAAAGAAAAGAAAAACACTACGACACTGACCAAGTAAATAAATTAAAGGACAGGATAAAAATTATTTCCATGTTTTTTATTTACACAAAATTACGTTTTATTACGTATGGAGAGCACACTCTCTTTCTCCCGCTTTATTTAAATGAGGGATATTGTGACGCGTATATTCCCAGAAGAAACTCAAGGCTATAATCGAAGCGTTTCATGAAATTCAGAATCAGTGCTTACTGATATAGAGAATAACTCCTTTTGGAGTGGACTGTGTGCTTTTTAACATTGCAGAAGTTTTTCATGCTCAAACTAAAAAATGTTGAAAATGTAAAAAAAGCACAATAAATCCTCTTTAAATATATATAGAATAAAAAGTATATAGGCATAATATTTAGTATTATATAAGATAAAATATTGTTATATTTGACTCAATAATAAAATAATTGTATTTCAGTCATTTCTGTCTCCTCTGGTCTCTGTCCTCTCTCTCACCATGTGAAATGGTCCTGCGGAGCTCCAGCAAGCTGCGGAATGAGAGAGAAGCTACATGAGGTTTTCCCCAGCGTTCGGTCTCCTCCTCCACATCCTCCTCAAACTTTATCCAACGAGCCGTTTCCCTCCACTGCATCTCCTGGTTCTTATCCATCACTAACTCATTCAGCTCAACAAACACCTGAGAGAGCACATACACTTACCATTTATATGAACTTTCTTATACAGCTTTCCAATACAGCTATTTTGATGAAACTTCATCTGATTAAGTTATAAGAAATGATGTGTTAATTGAGTCAGGTTTGAAATGCAAAACGTTTTAAGCAAAAAGTTTACAACACATCATAACCTTTAGCAAAAAAAATTTACTTCTATAGTTCATGCATCATGGCAGGTAAAGCTATAACATTTGTTAGAGGAAGCAGACTGTTTCTGCAGTTCTTTCAGACAAGAGCAATCTTTTCAGGCAAGCCAGCCAAAAATGTCTGCATATTTCAACTGTTGTTGTGTTGTCAGTAAAGCTGTTCAATTTGTTGTCCTAAAACTACTTTCAAGCATTTGAAGTTCCCTGAGGAATTTCTAATGGGTTTTTAGAATAGAGGTTTAAATTTATGGGTAAAATACAGTACCGGTATGTGGTTAACACTACTTGAAGAGACTTTAAAGTACACACCTCAAATGTGAATCCTGAATATGTTGTGTGCTTTGAAAAAAGCAATTTAAGATAAGATCCACTACCATTTAAAAGTGTGGGTTTGGTACGATTTATTGTTTTTGAAGTATTATACTCATCAAGGCTGCATTTATTTGAAAAAAGATATTGTTACAATAAAAAAAAAAAAAAAACTGTTTTCTATTTAAATGTATCCCAAAAAATTTATTTATTCTTGTGGTGGCAAACAGCAGCCGTTACTCAAGTCTTCTGTGTCACATGAAATCATGTTTTTACTATTATCAATTTTGAAAATACTTTTGCTGCTTAATATATTTATGAAAAGCATTTTTCCTGGATTATTTGATGAAAAGAAAGTTGAAAAGAACAGCATTTATGTGAAATAAAAATATTTTGTAACAATGTTAAAGTCGCTTTTGACCAATTAAATGCATCCTTTCCCAAAGTATTAAAAGTATAAGTTTCTTTTGAAAAAAATCTTACTGTCCCGGTGTCCCCAAACTTTTGAATGGTAGTGTATAATAAGGACTACAATGGTCGCCTGATTGGAAAACTACATAAACTCGTGAAATCTGTAAAAGTTTTTAATGCACATAATGGCTGCATGTAATTTATGTTGTAGAACAAAACATTAAAGTCTCTTTAAGTACTTTAAGAACTTATTTTACTCATAAATCAAAAAAGTACCATTATTTAATAACTGAACAGCTCTATACGAGTACAGTTTTGCCAGTATGAGCTTGGTTATACACAGTTCTGATATTGTGATCATTCTCTGCCTTCCACAACACCAGAGGTAGATGTGGTATCAGCAAACAAGTGGTAGTTAAACACCAAACGCAAGCTTCAGCTGTTCCACAAACCAATCATACCAGCCCTCTGCCACCCTACCTTCAGCTGTTTGGCATGACGAACCCTGTGGTCCATGTAGCAGGGCCATGATCTCCTCTAATAAACAACAGCAGGCTCAGTGAGCCAATAGTAGTGATACTGCAGCTTTATTTGTACAGCATGCAATCTAAAACTATTCTTTACCGTATGTCCTCCCCAGTATAAGAAAGCATTAAAGCTAAAGAGTGCAATTTGCTCTATATTTAAACTATTACTGGGTTGATTTCCTAAAAAGTGTCAAAACATTGATCTTTTCATTTGAGCATTTTGACCAGGCAAACACAGAAATATTGACTCAACCAATCGTGTGAGTTTGAGGTGTGGCTATATGTTTGACCAACCAGTGACAGATGGGGAAGTGTTTGAGAAATACTCTTTTAAAGTCCCCCTGTAGTCAATAATTGTATCTCTTAAAACTCATCCTCTGATCACTAAAATTACATATTTAAACGTTTTTTCCTTGAAATTGTTTTTCTTCATGCCTTAAAGTAGCTTAAACGTACACCCTTGCCTCGTTTAGTACACGCGGTTCTATGAATATGCAAATTATCCCCGCCTCCACTCACTCACATCAGCTCAGAGATTCACTTATTGACGATCACACGTTGACGTGAATGGTTGCAAGTTTGTGACGTCAGAACCACTGTCTTTGGTTCACCGCAGTTTTAAGGAGAACATACTCAGCGCTGACTTATAAATTTGCACATGGTTTGTCTTAAAGTATATTAAAAACACCACAGACATATAAATGATTGATTTTCACCACTGGGGGACTTTAAGATTTTAATAATCATATTTTTACAATTCCATTTAGTGACACTATATAAACTACACATTTCAGCTTTAAGATGATACTGATGACATAATATGCAAATATTTGTATTTACTACATCAAACACGCAACACCTAGAAAACAGCTCCAAGTGGACAGGAGAAAGATTATCTAGTTGGCTGCCGTCTCACCTCATGTGGGGTTCGATCCAGCTTAGTCCGGATACGACTGCTGGGTTCTTTGTGGTCCTTGCCGATGTGAACCACCTGACCTTTAGCGCTCTTCTTAACCAGGTGCCGCCGCACACCAGGAACATCTTCAAACCTGTGACCTGCGAGAAAGACAGCAAGACAATGTTTAAATACTAAACCAAGAATTGAAAACAACAACCAAGTCAGTACAACACTGAATCCATTGTAAAACACCAGAAGGTCTGTGCGTATCAGTTACTTAGTGCTTACCTTTCCTCGACAATACTGGCTACATTACACACAATACTCAGCATCCAAACAGAAACACAAACTGAAAAACTCCACTGAGCGGTCACTAGAACATGACTCAATTTTATGTCTCAAAATGATCTATTGTTTGGTCAAATTGTCTGTATATTCAGCACACACACACACACACACACACACACAGATACAAAAGAGACGTCAAAGGCACAGTTGTAGTGGGAAGCTCTGTACCCTTTGAGAATGTCCACATTCCTGAATCACAGCCATAGATGGTTAGATGTACAGACTGAAAACATGATTTATTCTCAGAAGAATGAGAACAGAAAGGTAAATAAAGAAGTCCTTTGTAACCTTAGAAAAAAAAAACAGAAAAGAAGCTGGGGAAACAAATACATTTTCCTGCACTCAAACCCCGTCATTGATGATCTATGATCTACTGAAATGCATAATGCATACTACTTAATACTGAAAAACAATCTAACTAAAAACCAATATAATATTATATATAATATTATATTATATACCCTAGGCCTAGAAGGCATTTAAACAGGTTTCAGGGGTATTTCGGAAATATTTTATCGGTTGTATTTTATTATAAATTGTATATATTATTTTTTAGAAACATTATATCATTGTGTATTTAATAATAATAATCATTATCATCATCATTCTTCTTCTTCTCATTATTGTTATTACTAGTATCTGTGCTCACACTGCTGTACTAAAGCCAACACAGCTGGCAGTGCATTTCCATACAGACATTAATATATATATATATATATATATATATATATATATATATATATATATATATATATAAAATATACACTCCCGTTAAAAAGTTTGGGGTCGGTAGGATTTTATTTGAAAGAAAGACTTTTATTACAAAAAAATAATATTTCAAATAAATACTGTTCTTTTGAACTTTTTTTATTCAATATTCAACATTGATTTTAAGAAATCAATGGAATGTCAAATCACCGTATTAGAAGAATGATTGTGCATATTAGGATCATGTAACATTGAAGAGGAGTAATGATGCTGAAAATTTAGCTCTGCCATCACAGGAAAAAAACAAACATTTTAAAATATATTAAACCAAAAACAAATATTTCACACTTTTACTGTTGTTACTGTATTTTTTATCGAATGAAGCCTGGGTGATCATAAGAGACTTCTTCCAGACCCCAAACTTTTGAGGGGCAGTGCATAATATAATAAAATATAATATATATTTAAATATAAATAAATGTTAAAACTCTCCAGTGATCTTACATTGTTCAAGTTAATGTCAGATTTTACCCAAACATATACTCACTCTTAATGCCATCCAGGTCAACCGTGGCGAGCGTCTGTGCCTCGCTCTCGTCAGTGGGCATGTGTTGGTAGTGTGCTAGCGCAGTGCCCGTCATGTTGCCCGTGCGGCGGCGCTCCTGCAAATCATAGCTGCGGCCGGGCTTAGAGCTGCCGTCTGGAGAACTCAAACTTGGAAACAAACATGGTGCGGACACTCGTCTGCCATTGGGTAGATTACGAACCCAATTTCTGCCCCTGCAAAGTTAACAGAACAAGGTTAGGGTGAGCACATACATGTAGGTAATCTATGTGTGCGTCGTGTTCACTTACACGGTTGTTGCAACATCTTCTGGGATGCTGATACTGGTGTGAAGTGTAGAATGGGGTATGATTGACAGTTTTCGATGAGGCGAGGCTTTACCGTTCTTTTTTACAGTGGAGTTGGGGTCATCTTGTGATACAAAAAACTGCAGGCCGAAGAGAAAAAGGTTAGCAAGGTCATAACATGTTGTGTGTGTGTATGTGTATGTGACCTTTGATTACCTCTGCCTGCTCTACGACCTCTGTGTCTGTGTCCGGTGTAGGTGTAGTGGTGACATTTTCCTCTCTTTCCTGCTGGCTGCAGGAATCTTCATCCACCTCTTCATCCTCATCATCCTCATCTATCGGGGGAGCTGCTCCCATGGATGAACTCCTCCTCCGTCCTGAGTCCTTCCGTTTCCGCCCGGGCTTTTTCCGCCGACCCTCTGGGAGATGTTTAGACAGAGGGTGGTGAACGTGTAGAGAGGTGTGACGGTGATCTACAAATACCACAAACATCACAGACTTAGAAGAGCCTCACTATGGAGCCCCTTAAGGGACATGGTGATGGTAAAAAAAAAAAAAAAATTGATGGGAGGAAATATTGTGTTCTCTCACAAAACTTCTCCGTTCCCTCAGAAAACTTTTGTGATGGAAATAATATGAGGTAGGATGAAAAACTATATTTCAGGGCTTTGAGAGTGAATGCAAAGATTCTCTGGAAACACAATAGTTTTGGGAGAGAATGCAAAATGTTTTGCCAGAGACTGCAAAGTTTCTCAGGGGAACACAATTCGTATTATACTTGAAATCCATTTTTCCCTCCCATCTATTTTTTTTTCTATCACTATGTCTTTAAAGTTCACATTTGGAGATAAATAGCTACATTTTTTTAATTTAAACACTGCATAAACACTGTGAACAGTCACATGAATATGCATTCTCGTTTAATATAATGGTTTATGATAACATTCTCTATATTGAGGCAATAGATCAAATGCATGAGGAGTCAAGCTCTCACACTCAAAGTCCTCCTCATTAAATGTGCGGTGTTGTTCGATGGGCACGCGCGGGGCGGGAGTGAGGATCTGCTGGAAGCGCTGCACTCCCAGTGTCTTGTTCAAGTCCCCTTCGTCATCATCGTCACATCGCTGGGGGGGAGAATGCCCTGCAACAGGCTACACATAACCAGAGAGAAAACTATTAACAGACATGCATTCTCAGGTTCTTCAATTCATTTTTTTTATTATAGCCAGGTAAGACGAGTTTGGTTTTATAGCACATTTAACACACCATGGTAATTCCTTTATGTGCTTTACATAAAATTATTTAAGAATTATCAACTAATAATCATGACAGATGCATAAGAAAACAAAACAAAAAATGTAATAAACACAAATAAGGAGAAACGAGAAGAAAATATATACTGCCGTTCAAAAGTTTGGGATCGGGAAGACGATTTATTTGATCCAAAATACAGTAAAAACAGTAAAATTGTAAAATATGATTGGAAAAAATTTAAATGAGATAGATTGAAACTTCAAGTTCTCCTGTTAATGATATATGGCACTTGATGCTGACTGCTATAATGGGTTAAAAAAACAAAGAAAAGAAAAAGGCGGTGCAGGTGCTCCAAAAATGGTCTAGGTCTTTAAGGGTTGTGGCGAGCAGGACAAGGTAGAGGGACGTGAGAGGACGGCGCGAGGCCGGTGGCGTGAGTGATAATGAGCGACACCTGTGAGACGCACCGGTCTCGCGCCATCCTCTCACGTCCCTCCACCTCGTCCTGCTCGCCACAAGGGTTAAGAAAGAATGAAATGTACTTTTGCCTTCAGTAAATCAGTGTCATCAGCCAAATAATCAGTCACAGGTGACTGGTAAAAAGAAAACCTGGATGCAGAACTGAGTGCTCATAAAGAAGTCAGATTTCAAATCACACACTTCCAGGGGTCTTGTGCCACCTAACTGCCAATGACATAAAAGTGAATGCAAATGGATTGCTTTCTTCGGGTATTACACACACAGTAAATTTCATATCTGTATGTTTATGGACATCCACTCTCTTTTGCTCTCTCTACACTCATTCTCTCATTCCGTGTCTTCTCCCCCGCTGTCTGTGGTATGCTATCCTGAGGATAAACTGAGGCTTGTGATCTTGTGCTCAATTTAATTCAGTGTTTTGACAGGGGAGGCCCTGTCCGGGTAAAACTAACATGCCCACAGATACCAGGCTCTGGCACGCACACGCTTAACCAAGACACAGAATCATGTAGTTCATCCCCCCTATGCCACAGAGAGTGAGTCAGCACTCCTACAGCCACTCACAGAAGCTGTTGCTCAAGTAGATCATGAAGTCAAGTTCGGGATGCTAAACGTGTCGAGGACACAAATGAAGCATTGTCTTACTTATAAAGCTGTTGGGCCTTGTTAAGAAGCCTGGTAAGACATCAGAATACCAAATACCCAATGCTGTGGACCAGAAAACACAATACACAGTAGTGATCAGCTGACAGTAAGGACACCGAAAGCCAAGGTATCTGCAGTATATAACCATGGCAACCACTACTAGATAGCTGTCAAGTAAAGGAAGCAGCATGAAGTAATCAGACACTTATCTACACCCCCAGCCTATGACATCATCTGCCATATCTATAGTCAAATCCTGATCCCTTACACGCGTCGTCTTCTTCCTATTTGAAGAACTACCAGTTCTTAAGAAAAAATACTGTGACTGAAACCAGCCATTCACATGTCTAAATTTGGTCCGTCCAATGACATTTCACCTCCCACAAGTCATTTGCATAATATTTTGGAACATAAAAGAAGTCAAAATATCAAAGCTGCTTTTCTCAAAACAACAAAATGTCACTGTCTATCAAGTAAAGTTGGTTTCAAAGGCTAACAAAATCACATACATAGATTGGGATTTGAAACCAGATCCCCTTTGATCCTATTCCACCAGACCTAAGGACTGTTCACACAGAAAGTTTTTGCTTTGATTTTTTCTTTTCTATGTAAACATGCGCAAGATTGACCATTTTTTTTCATTCCACTGCCCTGCATCTTGCGTTTTTAACACAAAAAAACATTTAGTGTTAATGACCCCTTATACAGTATGTCTTGCACCATATCCTAATCAGTTGCAACCCAAAAAAGCTAAAGGCAATAAAAGGTATTTGTTAACTGGAGTTTTTGTCCTCACCATGGTGTGTGTGACACTAGATTTTGTCATGGAGCTCAGTCTACACTAAAATCTTATTAGACCAAAATACCGCTCCTCATTTATATTAAATATCAAACATGGATGGGACTGATTGTGTACGCTTAATCGTATATTATCCCAAATCCCTAAATCCCTAAAGTTGTATGAAAATACGTCCCTGGAATCTTGTTGTGACGCCCTGGTTAGGACCTCATGCACCTGGGGAACCAGTAGCAGTCCTAACTTGGTGCCTTCGGCGAGGTAAAGAGTATGTGTACTTACTTCTTACTGCTACTAGTTCCCCAGGTGCATGACGGGCCCCTGTAAACACACACTCACATTCCACCTCTCTGTTTTGGCTCTATCATGGACACCTGACTCAAATATTTCTGATATAACTCAAAGTATTGTGTTCCTGAATACTGAATTCTCTACACAGGATTTCTCTTTTTTCTTTACAAAGGATGAAATGTGATGCTCCTATCACTTCACTTTCGTCGCTCCATCTACACAGTGAGAGACTTATATTGACTTACATTTTCCCACAGAAGTGAAATTGCCTCTGTGAGATCTGAGCACCGTTTTAATTTCTGGAACAATGAATGAATGAGCTGCGATCCTGCAGAATTACATGATCGTTTTACCAGAAAGAAAATGACTTCACACAGAATCCGCTGATTGACATTTGTTTAGCTCTTTTACCTCATCACACAAAAAAAAACCTGATCTTCTGCATAATCTTCAAACACCATTATTTAATCAGGTATTAAAATTACGTTTCAGGATGTTCCGTTCCACCCACTTTGAAGAGATCTTTATTTTAAGAGCTATTTCCTGTGACAATTTCCACTTTATGTATGAAATGATATAATAAACTGACATCATCCCATCATCTTTTGAAGAATGTTAATCAACTGCACTGAATTTTTTCATTAAAAAAATTATGAAATTGTTTTTATCTAATCAGGTATTAAAATTACGTTTCAGGATGTTCCGTTCCACCCACTTTGAAGAGATCTTTATTTTAAGAGCTATTTCCTGTGACTATTTCCACTTTATGTATGAAATGATATAATAAACTGACATCATCCCATCATCTTTTGAAGAATGTTAATCAACTGCACTGAATTTTTTCATTATTTAGGAATTTTGTCTGGTTTTACATTAAATAATAATACATTTTATTGACTCCACTTCACTTATTATAATTAAAAATTATTTCTATATTTTATGTACTCAAGTAAATAATTTAAATTAAAGAAATATGTATTTTACAATAATAATTTAGTTTTATGAATGAATTACATATTTTTAAAATAAATTATTTAGGTTTATGCCTAGAAAAATTTCAAAGGGGTAAGTGTAATCAATTCAGGGTTTTCTGAAAATAAGTCTTAATCGTCCGGTTTCACAGACAAGGCTTATGTCTAGTCCCAGACTAAAATACATGTTTGAGCTGTTTTAACTGAAAGCAACTTGTACTGAAATATCTTAAAATATGTCAGTGCCATTGTTTTGTCTCAAGATGCACACCAAGTAATGTTTTTTCTAAGGCATGTTTTTAAAAGCTACTTAAAGCTGCAGTCCGCAGTTTTTCCTCTTTGTCGCCATCTCTGTTCGAAATCTGCAATTGCAGTTATTCGTGGAATTATCAACTTTACGAGGGTTGTGCCTCGGCACGGCACAGTAGTAGTGGGAAGTTCGGATCATTTTACTGACTCGGATCTTTGAGTCTCGTTCAGCAAAATGAACGAATCTTTTTTCGAGTCATTTCGTTCATTTCGTTCATTTCAGCATAATATAATTAAAATGGCATGTTAAATATCCCAACACATCTAGAACTTACGAAAATGTTGATTACATTTGTAAAAATAATAAAAATAAATTATAGGGTAATGCAGCCAAAGCCAAATTATAAGAAACCGACATTTTTATGAATTGATTACTTGTTGGGTTTTAAGTTCAGGCTATTGCAGTCTGATTCTGTTAGTTCACCTCACCTCCTCATCCGAGACGTTCTTTCCTTTGCAACTTCATATTTATCAGGTTTGTTCTCCTCCTCTTGTGTCTCGAGACGTTAGTTGTCGACTCGTCAGTGTCTGACTCTGATCTGCGCTGTCTGCTGGGCCGTGCCGTGTGTGATACAGCAGGGCCGGAAAGAGTAATGATTAGTTCATCTTTCGAGTCTCGAGTTCGGGTTCGGCCGGGTCCGAGTCTTTCGTTCTTCCTGTCAGTCCCATAGAGGTTATGCTGTCAGTACCGGAAAGAGTAATGATTAGTTCATTTTCTTCGAGTCTTTGGGTTTGAGTCCTTCGTTCTTTTGTCACGTGACCGCTGGTATCTCGCATCAAATACAATATTAGATTCGTATTATTGACTGCGTCTGAATGTATATTGTTTTATATTTAGGAATTAAAATACAAAATATGTGAAATAAACATTATCTGAAAAATAAAAGTTCCATCTTATTATTGTCCCTGTCCGTTTCTTTAAATGTTTCTTGTGCATCTGTGGTGTGTTTTATTATATATTATACATTAATTAACTACTATTATATTATACATTAACTACGTGCTTGTTTGTAAAAAAGGTTGTGAATTAGTAGGCTATTCAATACGGTGACAAGTCACGTGACAAAAGAACGAAGGACTCAAACCCGAAGACTCAGAAGATGAACTAATCATTACTCTTTCCGGTACTGACAGCATAGCCTCTATGGGACTGACAGGAAGAACGAAAGACTCGGACCCGGCCGAACCCGAACTCGAGACTCGAAAGATGAACTAATCATTACTCTTTCCGGTACTGACAGCATAGCCTCTATGGGACTGACAGGAAGAACGAAAGACTCGGACCCGGCCGAACCCGAACTCGAGACTCGAAAGATGAACTAATCATTACTCTTTCCGGTACTGACAGCATAGCCTCTATGGGACTGACAGGAAGAACGAAAGACTCGGACCCGGCCGAACCCGAACTCGAGACTCGAAAGATGAACTAATCATTACTCTTTCCGGTACTGACAGCATAGCCTCTATGGGACTGACAGGAAGAACGAAAGACTCGGACCCGTCCCGAACCCGAACTCGAGAGAGATGAACTAATCATTTCCAGTACAGATTCAGAAACCATATGTTGCGCAATGCGCATGCGCGATCAACACAAAATGAACGAATCACTCTCTGAGACAAGTAACTCGGTAGTCCCGAGTCATATTAAAGATTCGTTCAAAATGAACGAATCGTTCATGAACGACACATCACTACGGCACAGCGCGGATGAATCTAATGTTTTGAGGAGAATGTGCGGCTGTCAGTCACCGCGCTGGTGTGGATACTGTCATTCAGAATCACAGATTCTACTTTTAGGAAGTATGACCAACATAAGAATTTTCACCCTAAAATGTCATCTGAACAAGTAACATCCACTTTTGTTCTGACCAACTAAGGGGAAAAAAAGCAGTAAATCGCGCTAATTAAATCTAACGGTCGCTTATCATATCACGTCAAACTGTGCAAATTATACTTTGTTGTCAAATTGTTAATGTTAACAACATCAGCATTGCGTGACTACATTTAATGTCCGTCCGATATTTATCCTTGTTTTCGCACGGGCCGGTTGCAGTCTCTTTTTCCAAACTCTCAGTCCAAAGTCTTTTGCATTTTACAACGGGTGAATCTGTTGTCACTGGTGATTGTCGTTTGAACCTTTCTGGATCCGCCATCAAATTGATAAGTTTAATTATATCAAGTGCTGTGAGAAAAGGCTATAAATCTCCACCTCCAACATCCTCACACGCAATATAGCTTATACTAGCAGAGACTCCTTCTTTATGTGTACAGATGTGACGTAATGACGCAAAGACATGCTCGAATCTCCCGCGGAAATCCACCAGTACCACTGGAATTAAAAACATTATTACAAGCTTACTGTTTTGAATCGAGCTTAATTTTAATTTTTAAAAATTAATAGTTCATTTTTAACTATTTTCACGGACTGGAGCTTTACATGTCCTAATTGAACTAAGGCCTAATCCTGGCTTAATCTAAGCCCTGTCTGTGAGACCAGGCCAATATGTAAAAAAATGTGTGCAAATGTATCTTGTTTAAAGTCTATTAAACAAGAAAAAAAATATATTTGCAGTGTGTGTATCTTGTTTGCAACCCTTGTTTCTCTGACTGTATCTTAATGCAATTTTCACTGCAACACTGATATACTGTATAACCTAAATTAGAAGACATTTAGGCCTGGTTTTACAGACAAGGATTAGATTAAGCCATGTCTAGGTCTTAGTTTAATAAGGACATGCCTTAGAAAAAACATTACTGTTGTGCATCTTGAGACAAAACAATGGCACTGACATATTTTCAGATGCCAGTGCAAGTTGCTTTTAGTTAAAACAGCTCAAACATGCATTTAGTCTGGGACTAAAGTAAATTACAGTCTTACTGTTAACTTACTACAGTCTAGTAAGTTAAAGTAATTACAGTCTTATTCCAGTTGAGATTATTATTTAAGGAGCTATTATGCAACATTATTCACACTGAAAAGTCATCAATATGAGCCTTGATCAACAACAGTTTTGTTATAGTGGGTTTAAATTCTCGATTGTCACTGCTGAGAGCCCCTGTACCCACCTTGAGCGTAAGGAGGAAGTCCATTAAGCCATGAGGAACAGAAAACCACCCAGATAAAGGCTAATTAAAACTCTACAGTTTCTCAGGGACATATATAAAAATATTTAAAAACCAAGACACAATCGGCACAGCACGTCTTCATCACAGCTGTATAATAGCACAACATGTTCGTCAGATGTAAATTGATTTCTGGGTATGGCACATTAGGTGGCTCTGTCTCCATGGTTACACTGATTGTTTTTAAATCTTATTCTAGTGAATCAGACCCCAGGAGGATAACTGGCAATTGTTTCAAAAAGTGATCTGACCACTGCTTGAGTCTCTACAAATCAGCAGAACAGGTACTTAATGATGTTCCTAAACATCACTATGCCTTAAATTGTCCGTAAAATTACTGGATAATGTCCTGGCAGAAAATTACCAATACATTTTACGTTTTATTTTATTTTTTACAGTGGGTACAAAACTTTGCAACTACAAAATGTCTTTCTATTGAGCTGTACTTGAGGGCTGCATGCCAAAAACTCATACAACGAACCAGTGTAATTAGATTCACAAGCAAAGAACCAGTGTAGTCCGATTCTCGAACAGAATGACTCTTTATCATGTAGTTCTTTTATGAATAGTTCAAAAAGACGATTTACCCATTTTAATCAGTCTGAAACACTTCCCTGTATAATTTACAGCAGGAATATGCCTTAAAAAAGTAATCAAGGTTTACTAACATTTAGTGTGTAATATGGATGAAAACTCGTGAAGCAAAACTTATGACTGCTTAATGATCATCATAGTCTAAAAATTAAAACATGAACAAGTTAAAAATTACTTACCAAATGTCTTGTCAAGCCTGTGGCAGAAGTGACGTCACTGGCGTCCTGAGGGTCACTCATTGCTTATGGTCAGGTTTGTGGGTGATGCTGTAAAGTGCGCTGGCTTTAGCCCTTTTCTCTTTCACTCAGACTCAACTGGGAAGTTTCGGGCAGCATAACCTGATGTGACACACAGAAAAAGAAAATATGCTTGGTTAAAAGTTCCATGACAATGGATAATATATAATATAAATAATATCAACAATGACATGCAGCAATGTCTTAGAGACGACCTTTATTTTTTTCCTCACTGAGCTTGTTTTTTGTAGTTTATTAAGAAATTCAGCACTGAGAAAGCTCTCAATTCTAAAGAGATTGCTTGGCTTTAATGGCCATTAAAGCCTGTCCATTAATGGCTTTAAAGCCCTAAAGTAAAGATCCATAGAGTTAAATAGTAACATAAATTATCAATTCTGTGAATAGCTGTAAATGCATATTGCTGGAAGTCTTTTAAAGACCCAGCAGAACTATTTTTCTTATATGGCACTTCATTAGATTATGATGAGTGTAAACCACATAATAATATAAACGATTGCAACATATGCACATTCTCAAGTTTAAAAATACATTCTCAATTGTGAAATAGAAATCATACTTCCATGAAAGGCATTTCCCCATCCTTGAATTTTCAAGAAAACTGAAGATGTGCTTTTCAATGCTATATTTAATCTTCAACTTGATGTTTGTACGCTCCATTAGAGAGATATTCAGACACTGTAAATCTGTCTGAGCATCAGTCAACAACAAGGTCAAAGCTCATATACAATATCACAGTAACAGCATTTCATATAAATTGGGCGGGTCACAGGAAATTCTGCAACATTTCTCAATGGAAAATACCAAAATTAGAAGCCACATCCTTATTCAAATCGATACAGATGTAGGTGTAAGGTCACAGTACGTGAAAGGTCAAATAATGCATTTCTTCCTACAGAACCATCAGTACTTTTTAAAATATTCCACTTATAAAGAACAGGTTAACGCCGAACCATTACAAAAAAAATATGGCAATTTAAAAAGAGAGAGAGAGAGAGAGAGAGAGAGAGAGAGAGAGAGAGAGAGAGAGAGAGAGAGAGAGAGAGAGAGAGAGAGAGAGAGAGAGAGAGAGAGAGAGAGAGAGAGAGAGAGAGAGAGAGAGAGAGAGAATGACTATGGAATACAAACAACTTCAAAAGAATAATTCATACCTGTGAAGGGCTAAATATGAGAAAACATTGCCGCAGCAGTCTCAGCTTATCTACTTCCCCTGACTCTTTCTTAAAGTTTCCTGTGGCACCCTCCATTCAAAGGTTATATAATGTGTGTGACGTTGGTGAAGCATGCACTTGCCTAAACAGAGAACACTCTTTTCAAGGCTGAGTAGTTATAATAGCTGGAGTTCATGTGCACTGTTTCCTTTATTATTAGGACATAAAGTGTCTTCAAAGCTTTATCAAGAAAACATTTTACAAATGTTATTTGCATCAACGTACCATGTTAAACTGTGCAATGATATTGTTCAGAGCCGTGTGTTGATGATATGACCACATTTTGGTGAAGGTGCCCTGTTCGTGTACGTATACTTCATTTCCTGGTTTCACAGACAATGCTTAATTCTTAAAAAGCATGTTTGAACTGTCTTAAAGCAGCAATAAGTAGGAATTCCGTTTTTGTCAAACAGCGACCCCTAGAGTCGCTGTGGAGTACCTGTACTGTCGTGAATACCACTCACGCAGAGATGGCTCGCACTCACGGCCGGATCCCCTCCCCCTGTACACCGGTACCTGTTCAGTAGGATGGACGCTGTAACGAGTGGAAATAAGGTATGGCCCCTTTAAGAGCTGCGCGCGCCCAACACCACATTTATACGGCGCCGGGTTATTTTGCAAGGGTGGTTTTGCAGCTCACAGGCACCAGGGGGGTGCGAGACGACCACCATTCAACACGAAATCAGTAATATAAACATTACAATGACTCCAAAGCTGTTCGGTTAAGGTAAAAAAGTTACTTAGTTCACCTTTAAAGCTGCTGTAGGTAGCTTTTGTAAAAAATATTTTTTACATATTTGTTAAAACTGTCATTATGTCCTGACAGTAGAATATGAGAGAGATAATCTGTGAAAAAATCAAGCTCCTCTGGCTCCTCCCAGTGGTCCTATTGCCATTTGCAGAAATACACGCTCCCGGTCAGAAACAACCAATCAGAGCCAGGAGGAATGTCTTAGCAGTGTCAATCACGCTCGTGTACGCGCTGATCACACCCCTCTCTTGCACAGCGCGAGCGCCGGAGCGCGTACCGTCGTTCAAACTCAAGATTGCCGGGGTGCTGCAGCTATGCTTATGACAGAGAAACAACCTAAACTGCCAATTCTCGAGTGACACCTGCTCATAAAACAGAGAGGTAAAGGGAAAAAGACCGATTACGATAAACAAGCGAAAAAGAAAGAATTAGACAGAGCCCATTGATTCGGTGTCAAAACTCTAGCCGCATAACATGTAGATAAAATGTCACGCACTCTGCTAAGCAACAATTGAAACCTGCTAATTCACTGGCTTGTCATGTTGCTGAAATAATGTACTAGCACACCTTATCTAGCATTATATATCGTTATATTAACGTTATCTTACTAGCTATTTATAACTTATAGAAAGAGTGCAACGTTATAAAGTTACATGTATTGCAAAATACATAATGATTTGAGGACCAAGTTTGTAGTCAAAGTATGGGCAGGCCATAGTCAATGGAAAGCATATTGTTGACGTTTAGGCCCTATTAGTGAATGTGCCATATAACTTTTTATCCGCCGTCATCGGTGGCCCTGTTTACTAGCCTGCGCGTTCACGACAGGCTCCGCTGTGGAGGACGAGCTGTGGAGGGAGGGCTGTAGCGCAGCAGAGAGCAAGGGGGTGGGACCTGTAAGTTGTGCTTGTTCAAATTTTCAGGCTAAGTCAACGTTTTCTCAAAACTCCCTACTGCAGCTTTAACTGAAAGCAACTTGCACTGAAATACCTTTAACTATGTCAGTGCCAATGTTTTGTCTCAAGATGCACAGCAGTAATGTTTTTTTTTAAGGCATGTTTATAAAAGCTACTTAAATGTCCTAATTTAACTAAGACCTAGTCCTGGCTGAGTCTAAGAGGGCATTTTGCTTTAATGACAGCAGTACTCAAGCTGCATAAAATGCAGGGTAGGTGATTTGTTCCAGAATTTTTTTTTCTGTTATGCTGGTTGAAAGTCTCTTCACATCCTGATAGCTACCACTGAGTTAAGTGGTCTAAATGTATTTATATGTATATAAATATCGTCTGTGAAAGACGTACAGTAGGACCATAAAATCTAGTTCATCTAATCATTGCATTCGCACGTGATAAAATGATAAGATGTCCTACCTGCCTGTCAGCATATGTATTTCTATACCTCCGCGCACCTGGTCGCACAGACGTCACACATCATCAGCGCTTTCATACTATGCAGAGTTAGACAGACGTCAGTCACCGATCACCGCAACCGAAACAGCAGCCACCTTTTACATTTCCTCCTGAGCCAAAACAAGGAGCTTATGCTGTTTTCACGCTATAATACCGTAATTGAGAAGAGATGGAAACCTGTGATTTTATACTCGGAGCGGTTTGAGACTCGAATAATGCGTTTCAATGGCAGCACTATCAATGACGATATGAATCTGCAGCAGTCAGGTGGTATAGGTCAGTTCTCTTTAAGTTGTTTATGTTCATTATTATTGTAATGTTATCTGCTTTGAGACACAAGCACAACGCCTTCTCTCGTTACGCTTTTGTTTGCTTCCTGCTGTATGCCTGTTTTGGAGGAGGTGTGGCTTTGGAGACGCTATTAAAGGAACACTCCGACTTTTTGGGACTTTAGCCTATTCACCTTATCCCCCAGAGTTAGATAAGTCCATACATACCTTTTTCATCTCCGTGCGTGCTATAAGTCTGTTTGACGCACCCAGCCGTGCCTGAGACCAGCCGTGGTGAGGAGCAGAGAGCGCGTCTCAGGTGCTGCGGTTATCACTCCGCCCAAGTAGCAGTGCTTCGCCTTCAGAGAATATAGTTCCCAGTATTTATACGGTTAAAATATGTCTGTGTCTCATGTGACTTTGTTTTTTGTACACTTTGTGACTATACAAATCACAACATGTAAATAGGAAAATGTTTGCGTTATTTTGTCACTTATTTGGATTAGTATGCTAGCTGCAACCATTTACATCCAGTATTTGTGCTAAGCTAGGCTAGCGGTGGGTGCGTCAAACAGACTTATAGCACGCACGGAGATGAAAAAGGTATGTATGGACTTATCTAACTCTGGGGGATAAGGTGAATAGGCTAAAGTCCCAAAAAGTCGGAGTGTTCCTTTAAGTGAGGGTGGGATCTTATGCTTTCAAATTAGCTTGCTATGCTTGCCTCTCCGAAAATTACCTACCCTACCTTTAACTCCACATGTTTGAGTAAAAACTGATGATCATGTTGTCCAGTATGATTTGAGAATGATCCAACAAGAAAATGTTTTATACAAAGGATGGTCAATGTCATAAATTTACTTATTTGGCGACCTAGAAATATTGTACAATCTCAAATATTTCACAGCATTTCTTTGCTTAATTTTGTTTTTTAATTCAAAATCCGAAACATTTGCTTTATGTGCAGATTTAAATTAAAAAAAGATTTTCAATGTGTCCTCAAACTATAATGTACAGTTTCTCTTAACTTTTCTTTGTTTTATTTGTGTCAAATATTTTTTTGTTTTATATTATTGTCAAAAGTTTCTTTTCATTTAGATTTCAACAAAAAAGCTCAGATTTTCAATGTATCTGCAGACTTTTGGGTGCCACTGTGTGTTTGTACTCTAAAGGTGACTGAGGACAGTGATTCAGCAGAGATGCTCCCCAGAGACTATTTGAACATCCACACTGTGAGGCTTATTCTTATGCTGCTCAAATACCACTACCATGTGAACGTTAAATACAGAAGTATGTGATATAAATTATAGTTTCTAACAAAACAGTACAATAGTGCAGTTTCTTTACAGCATGCAATTATCACATTACATTGCCTATTGCTATGCTATTTGTGCTATTTGCCTGTCTGATGACACTAGACAGTCAGAAATAGAAAAAAAGTCAGAGCCATGTAGACACTCAACATTGCATTACATAGCACTATCTTTAGATTCCTTTGCATTTGCATGTATTCACTTGGCAAAGTGATTTATTATCCATTCAAGCTGAAGCTAATATATTTTATCAGTCCATGCATTCCCTGGAAATCAAAGCCAAAATCTTTATGTTGCTCGCAACTATTTGAGCTACAGGAGCATTAAATAGAGCAGATTTGTTATTGAGAAAAAGCAGCTGTTTGTCAGAGTAAATCCTTCAGTATTTCAGTCCATTAGAAAAATCACTGAGTCATCTAATGATCTTAATCTGGGCCAAAGTCATTGTTGCTCTGATACCAAGAGTAACTCTAGATCCTCATCTTCACTAGGCTGGATACAGAGGATGAGAGACCAAAGAGAAAGCGAGAAAGTGCCAGATTCCAGACAATCACAGTCCAATCACAACAACAACAACAAAAACAGGCAAAAACATCACTACGATTCCTTCAAGCATATTTCCAAGCGTATCATTCCTCTCTCTCTGATAGTGTGCGCGAAATTGAAAAATTCCAGCAGGAAACACTTTGTAAGACAGGAAGGGCTGCAGTTTATTCAGCAAAATACAACTGCAAACACTTTATGAGGCTGTTCTACAAAAATATGAACATACACTTTCTGTAAAATGAATATCCAACAGAAAATCAAAGACATCAAACCAATGGCTAACTTTTTTCTGTGGAACATATAAGAAGATATTTTGGAGAGCATCTCAGTGCGTCTTTTTTCGTCCATACAATGAAAGTAAATAGTCACCTAAATGGTTTGGTTACCAACATTCTTCAAAGTATCTTCTTTTGTTTTTCCGCGGTGGGAAAAAAAAGTCGTACAGGTTTAGAAGAAGATGAAGGTGAGCATAAGGACAAAATTATTTTCATTTTGGGGTGAACTATCTCTTTAACTAGACTTTGTTACAGAGAAGAAAAGCTTTGCTAACAGAGAAACACAGAGAGACAGACTTACCTCAGAATGCTCACTGCAGGCAGACTACAGCTACAGCAGTCATTGTAGTGTGATGGCAAAGACCCACTGAAGCCAAACAGCCACCGAAAGGCAGAGAAAGAAAAAGACACAGAGGAGGAGGGACAGGAGTGTGAAAAAAGGCAGTGATTGGAGAACAGAAAAGCTGTTCTGGAAGTAGAAGCACACTACACTTTTTCCCTAACCTCTCTCTGTCCCTCTCTCTCTATCTGTTACACACACATGCCGTTCACTTCCAACCTTGAGGCACCCACTGATAGCTGTCCCTCCCCCCTCGATTAAGTTTCCTCCTTTAGCCCTCTGACAAACATGTGACCGACGGGACATGACTCAACAATACAGCTCTATGGCCTTAACTCCAAGAATCATTTGAAAAAGATACACTTTTATTTAAGTGTGCACAAAAGTGACAGTTTGCAGTTGCATATGCATTAAACAAAGTTGATTTTCTATTCACCGATTGATTTTGACTATATGAAAGAATAGCAGTGTTGGATACAAAATCTGAAATGTGTCACAGTAATTTTTCACAATAGACACTTTAAAGAAATATTCTGGGTTCAGTACAAGCTAAGCTCATTCGAGAGCATTTGTGGCATAATGTTGATTATTTTGACTAAAAAAAAATTATTTCCCCCCCAAAAATATAGGTTGCATTAAGCTCCTTACAATCTGTAAGCATTAAAATACTCATTGTTTCAATAGCAATGTCACAAGACTTAAACAATATGTGAGCTAACATGATTCTAGTGTGAAAACAATCGTATATTAACCTTTTCTGTGTAACGTTATATCCAGTTTTACAACATTGTTGCTGGAAAAACATAAACCCTTAAACAACTGTAAGAATGATTTAAACAGGTTTACAACTCAAATAATACATAAGTAATCATAATAATGTTTTAACAAGGATTAGTGTCATTTCTTTTATAAAATTATAAGCTTCACATTGCTGCTTTTAAATCCTCGAAATATTGTACCCATTCACTTCCATTATAAGTGGCTCATTCATTGTAATCCATTGTAATTTTTTTCTTAAAGAAAACGGGAGATGAGTCTTTTTTCTTTTTTTGTGATAGTCAACACTAAGCCACAAATACTGTTTATTAGGCCTGGAATAAGCCTGGAATACTGTTGCTGTTGTATTGAGCCTGGAATATTACTTTAAACTAATTATTTTATTGACTATTGTTCAAAATCGAGAGTTAAATTATGAAACAATAAAACATGGAGAAGCTCAGTAGCTTTTCTAGCCAAAACAATGTTTTCAAGCAAGCAAATTCACATGCTTCTTCTATCAGTGGAGATACGCTTTATCCTGATAATGACCTCAGCGGCCACTGGACGTTACTAAGTCTCTGTGACAAACTGCAGTACAACAGTTTGTGTTTAACTGATTATATGTCCAGCACTGTTCTAGGAAATTTGCCTCATATCTTTATTGTTTCCTGAGGTTATAGTCTTAATTGCAAAATGACGTCTTCATAACGCATTTAACATATAAACGTAATCCTAGTCTTGAACATTATGAAATAATGGATAACCGTGTGATCCTGCGATGACGTGAATTCACGGCTGAATGGTTCCACAACATGCAATCCAGCCACCAGCACTGAAACAGTACGTTTTAATTTCATATTACAAGGATGCTATTATAACGGTAAATTATAACTGAACACTGTCATTTCCTGTTTGACCTATGCAGATTTTCTTTTCATAAATACACCCTGATGCATTCAGCAATCACGACTCATTGCATGGCAGTCAAGGGTTTGGCCACAAGCTGATTCTGTCTGTTTTCTGATTATGGTACTTCAGAAAGACATGCCCCAGTACAAAGCTTTGAAAAATCAAAACAATAAGCATAAAAATACAGGTATTTAAGTGCAAATGTTATTATGCTGATTTATCTGTATAAACAAATCTTTTTATCCACTAGCATTGTGAAATTAATAATATTGTTTATTATGAAATAGTATGCAATAAAAACTGGAACTGTAAATTGGAAATATGACATAAGGAAACAAGCAACTGGTGGGCATATTATGGATAATTAGGGTTATGGTTATCCCGAAGCACTGTCAAAACATTTTTTCAGCTCCAGCAGCTGTGGTGGGAGCAGAAGAAGGGAGGGTGCAGGGTGTTAGAGGGAGTTATTTTTACAGCGACAAATATTTGTTGTTAAGGTCTTCATTTACAAATGGAGTTATCCCAAAAACAACCCTGCCAATTCATCATTCAGCAACCATCCAGAATGGCAAAGTATATTTCTGTATGTTCCGATGAACACTGCTCTGCAAAGTCAAACTGACCTGAAAAAAAATCAATGATCTGGAAAAACAGTAATTCATAATGTCTATTTAGTAAGCTAACCTAATAACAAACCAAGAGAAACTCTGTGTACAATGAACAGTGCACTGACCATGTTAACATGCACATCATTGTCCAATTAAGTATAAGACTTTATTTAAAAAAAAGATATTTGGATACACTTTATTTTAAGGTGACATAGTTTTTGTACTTACTCAAATAGTACTGAGTAATATTAGCCTACAAGAGAGTTATGGTTAGGGTTTCGTTCAGGGTAAGTTACTTGTAGCCTACGCATAAATTACTGTTGTAGTAGCCTAAGTAGCCTACATGTAGCTGGCTAATAACTACGTCACCTTTAAATAAAGTCTTACGAGATATTTTATGCTGCAGTTATTGGAAAATGCTTTAAGAGCCCATTCTAATTTATTAAAGGTTTGGAATCTCGTTACCACAGTATTGTAATGACCATGAGCTTTCAAGCAAACCTCAGTCCAATTTGACTATTTTTTTCTTCTTCTTACCATGCTTACTAGCCTACATTCAGATATGCTGTTCGTTCTTGCACTGATTACTCCTGTCTAGTTTAACTAACGTTAGTATTTCATTTACCGTAATATTGCCAAAAGCTCTTCCAGAACGCGTTTATGACAGGTCACAAATAGGGTTGCCAACCGTTCCGTATAATACGGAATCGTTCCGTATTTGACACATAAAAGGCTTGTTCCGTATTGAACTGATACGGAACGCACTTTGTTCCGTATTTTTGAGAATCAATTCAGTGCAAATCCATGACAGACGCATAGCTTCTAATATATATGTCAGACAGACTATGATGAATGAACGAAGACCCGCTGCTATAATGGCAAATTCGGGGACTTGGCGCCACCTTGACGGGCTCTGGCGCCCGCGCCATTGGATGTGCAGTTGCCGCAGCGCAGCCTGAGCGAGCCAGACGCTCAATGCGCAAGCTGTGCAGCTGCAAATGCATTTTACAGGCTTTAGTAAATCGAGTAAAATGTGTTTCCGAAGCTTAGAAGTATAAGGTTCTATCTCCACTTTTGGTCGAAATTGAGTTTTTGACATAATCTTATCCATTAGGTGTTTATTAATGACTGTGTGGTGTTATTTTTGTAAAAAAAATATTTTGTTAGTAGTTATTAATAAAATAAAAAGGTTCCATCTCACAAAACAGCAGGGATGTAAAAACTTTGATGCTCAATATCTCAGAACTACCCTAAACGGAGATAGAACCTTATAATTCTAAGCTCACGATTTGTAGACTATGATAAGAAAAACTACTAATTTTTTTTTTTTTTTTTAATTTGCACCGGAAAGAACATTCTAGAAGTCTAATTCTATTGAATAAGTTCGCTCAAGGCTACAGAAAACTGTTGTGTTTATTTTTCTTCAAATGCAGTCTAAGCCGATGAGTTTCGAATGTTATATGTTGTATTTCTTTAAGTTAAAAATAAAACGTATTATAATCTAAACAAATACATGGTTCATTTTTGGCAAAATGATCATGATAGCCTTTATATATCTGTGTGGTTAAGTCTTGTATATTGATTAAGCCTACTTTGCTATTCTATAAATATATAGGCCTAATAAGTTGCATTATACCCCCCCCCCCCCCCCCCCCCCGCGTTCCTTATTTCCATTTCAGAAAGTTGGCAACCCTAGTCACAAACCGAGTCAATGTAAGTTACGTGTCTGAATGAACTCGTTTCATGTCATTAGGTCGGTCTGGAGAAAACAAAACCTGTTCACGTTCAGTACGAAACGAAACGCGCAGAAAAACGTGGACATGATGCGGCATTCAGAGGTTTGAAATCATCACTGTCTGCAAGCGACGCGACAAAACTACGAGGCTCACATTATTGTCATTTTGTTTAAAACGACCAATACTGCATTACAATTGACATCACGCGCTTGCGGTGCACGCAGTTTGATAGCAGCGTCGCGTCGCTCGTAAGCAGTGTTTATCTGGTCTGTTAAATAAATATGATGACAATATCAGAGCTCAAACGATTACCGACCTCATCACTTGTCTGGACTTGATGTACCGTGCGAAGAAAACATGTTAAATGTTAAATAAGCTCCAACAATATCGCATTCTGAGCTGCACGCTCCGTCAACTTCAGTCAAATATTGACCATGACTAGAATTCACAAGAAGTTAATGAAACGACCGATTGAAAAAGGACGTTAAAAAGGTTGACCATCAACCACCCTACAATAATACATTAAAAAGTAAAAAGACAGACATTTTAAAACAAATTATTGTAATTGTACCACAGGCACCCACCGCATACTCACAAAAGACATGTTTTAGTCAAACTATTCCTGTGGTGCACAGCAAGTCTCACCAGACAGGAAAAAACAGAACTCACCTGTCATGTAAGAGGTGTCCAGTTTTCCAAATGCTGAATATGTGCTCTTGTAACAAAAAGATGATGTAAGTCAACTATTAGTGATTGCTGTTGTCAGGAGTGGGAGGTCTCGCCTGGAAACCTTTGCATGCCCTCTCACGAAGAATCAGTCAACTTTTTTTTTTTACAAAGGGCACTCAAGACTCACTTTATATACAAGAAGTGGTGTGTGCGTGTGATTAATTGGTCAGCTTTTAAATCCCTGGGGAAGAAGTGCAAAAAGTAGCAGTCACATTACAGATTCACAGCACAAATAGCCTATTAACCCGCAAACGAACAATCCATTGTGTCCGTCGCTGTGTTATGGGATAGGCCTCTTGACGTTGTTTTTGATGTAGATGTGGAATGAGTTTGTGATATTATTCGAGTGGTTCTTGAAGGGATTGTTCACTCTACAAGTAAATGTCATTTCAGACTGTCTGGCTTTCTTTTTGCTGCAGAACACAAAAGAAAGTAGCCTAAGTTTTTGTCCATAGAATGAAAGTCAGTGGAGTCCAGAACAACATTG